TTTAGAGGATCTCGCCACACCAAAAAGAAACTGTCCCCCTCCTGCCCACCCTTGCACACCCTCTCACCTCCTTCTCAGGCAACTGCTAAAATACTTCCGGTCTCTCTAGATTTGCCTATTCTGGACATTTCAAATGTAGTTTTTACTTTTAAGTAGAATGAGAAATGAACAATCACTGGACATTTCAGGAACACGTCTGAAGTGAAAGGCAGAAATGAAAATAAGAAAGAAACTCAATGGAAACAAAGGCGATCTAAAGACCAGAAGATAACTTTAAAAATGTCTATTGTTTTTACATCCATAAGATATGAAGAGGCAGTTGAAAATATGAAGATACGAAAAATATGAAGGCAGTTGAAAGAAATATTCAGAGAACAAGAAAGCTCCTGGAAATTAAGAAATGAGAAAAAAATATTCAAAAGAAGTAGAGACAAAGTTATAAAGATCCCTTGGCCAAACAGAAAAGGCAAAAATATGGGAAATGGGTTAAAAGCTTAAAAATAATCAGAGGGTTAATTCCAAATGGTAGTATTCCCAGCAGAAGAGTAAGAAAAACAGAAAATTCTGGGGGGATCTGGGCAGAAAAACCAAGACTTTATAAATCTTTAAAGAGAAAATGTCAAGAACCAAAAGACTTGAGATGGTAGATTAAGAAAGCCCATGGGTGGGGCGCCTGGGTGGCCTGTCAGTTAGATCCTCCTTCCTCAGGTCATGATCACGTGGTTTGTGGGTTTGAGCCCTGTGTTGGGTTCTGTGTCGACAGCTCAGAGCCTGGAGCCTGCTTCAGACTCAGTGTCTCCATCTCTCTCTGTCCCTCCCTATCTCTCAAAAATAAACAATACTAAAAAAAATTAAAAAAAAAAAAAAAGAAGGCCCATTGGTTTCCAGCATCATGGCTGAAAAGACCCCCCACTCCAAGACACAAGATTGTGAAATCTTAGATAACAGGAATAAAGAGATGACTCTAGGCTACCAGAGAGGGCAGTATGTGTTGTGGGTAGGTGGGGTGGGGGGAGCAGGGAGGGGGTACATGTGGGTAGGTGGGGTGGGGGGAGCAGGGAGGGGGTACATGTTAACCTAGAGAGGCCTGGGAGCCAGAGTGTCTGGACTTTTCAGGTGGGAAACAGAAAATAATGGAGCAATGGCTTCAAAATTCTGAGGCAAAATGACTTCTGACAATTACAGTAAAGTCATTTTCAGACTTTAAACAATCTTTAAAATCTATTTTACCCTTTCTCAGGAATCTATTGAAGGAGGTGCTTTAAAAAAAGGTGGGGGGGATAGGAGGAAGTCTTGCAATCTGGGAAGCAGGAGACCCAAAAGCATTGGAATAGGCAAAGGGAATTCAAAGGATGATGGTATAGGGAGCTTACAGGACAGCGGCTGTGCCTCAGGCTTACAGGGCAGCCAGTCCAGCTGGCTTGTCCAGGTGCCCTCCACAAGAGAAAACAGGAGAACAAAGAGCATAAACAAGTATTTAGAGGTGATGTTTAGTTTCTTTAGAATATTTGAGGATGGTTTAGTGACAGGTACCTAAGCAAATGAGGTTAAAAAAGAGGCAGTTTTTAACATCCAAAGAAAATGAAAATCTGTAAGAAAGGAAATGTGACTGCGGTTTACTGCGTGGTTCAGCTGTGACATTTTCATAGTCATATTAATGTAGGTACTGTGCTGTGGATTCAGTCGGGAGGAGGGGATGGCGAGTCAGGGACAAATGAGCACACGGCGACAGGAGGCTTGTGGGAAAAGAGTGCTAAGTCCTCTTCCATTGTAGAAAGCAGGGAGTAACAGTCTTGCAAAGTCTATATATAATGTAAGTTCTTTAAATTCTGAGATACATAGAAGAAACACTGAAGAGTTTATAATGTCTGCCTTGGGAGCGGATTTCAGGAGTAGGGAGGAATTGGTAGTAGGTGTCGTCATCTGATAACGATGTGGGACCTTAAAGGTGCTTATACACATTATGATTTTGATAAATGCAAAATTTTAATTTTACAAAGATAGGCTACAGAGTTTTTCTATTTTTAAAACTAGCTCCTGGTTCCTTATTTTTCTATATTTATTATGTGTAAGATCATAAATTCCATTGGATACATCAAATAAAATAGAGGACAGCCTCATGCATGTTTGCCCTTTCTGTAACAAATATCAGATGGCCTCAGTGTGCTATGAAAGTGAAAAATGTGAAGACATGGGTCTTGTCCCTCAACCCCAAGGAACTTAGAGCTTCAAGGTTAGATAGACATGTACATAACCCTTGTTGAAATATAGCTTTGATCTTATCTGCTTTGTTTTAAAACCTCCGTGACTTCTTTAGTTTGCTTTTCAGGTTTTTCTAAAATCCTAACCCTAAGTCTACCACAATGAGATACTGCTCCACACCCACTGAGATGTCTGTAATCAATAGTAATAAGTATTAGAGGGGCGCCTGGGTGACTCAGCCAGTTAAGCGTGTGACTTCAGCTCAGGCCATGCTCTCTCAGTTTGTGAGTTTAAGCCCTGCATTGGGCTGTCTGCTGTCAGCAGGGAGCCTGCTTTGGATCCCCTGCCTCCCTCTCTCTCTCTGTGTGTCCTCCCCCCGCATTGGGCTGTCTGCTGTCAGCAGGGAGCCTGCTTTGGATCCCCTGCCTCCCTCTCTCTCTGCCCCTCCCCTGCTTGTGCTCTCCCCCCCCGCCCCCAAATAAATAAACATAAAAAAATAACAAGTATTAGCAAGGGTGGGGAGAAATTGTGTACTCATACACTGCGAGTAGTAATATAAAATGGCCCAGCTGCTTTGGAAAACAGCCTGGCAGTTCCTTTACAAGGTTAAACATAGTTATCATATGACTCAGCAACTCCATCTCTTAGTATATCCCAAAGAAAAATGAGAACATATGTCCATGCAAAACTCGTACATGAACATTCATAGTGGCATTATGCATAGTAGCCAAAAACTCAAAAACAACTCAGATGTTCAGCTGATGCGTGGAAAAAAGAAATGTGGTATATCCATACAGCAAAATATTATTTGGCAATAAAAAAGAAGTATTTTCACATGCTACAAAATGGATGGATCTTGAAAACATTACACTAAGTGAAAGAAGCCGGTCACACAAGACCACACATTGTGTGATTCCATTGATGTGAAATGTGCAGAACAGGCAAATCCCTAGAGAGAGAAAGTGGTTACCTGGGGCTGGAGGGAAGGGGAAGTGGGGAGTGAGTGCTGACAGGTACAAGGGCGTCATTTTGAGATGATGGTTGCACAACTCTAAGTGCACTAAAAACCACTGAATTGTGCACCTTACGTGAGTGAATTGTATGGCTGAGAAAGGGCTATCGGGTCAGGCTTTCACTGTACTCAGTAAAGGTGCTATTTGTAGAAATCCTAACTCTAACCTACTTATCTAGCCTGTTTCCCATTCTCCCACTCAATTTTTACTTTTACTTGCATTCCTTCTGTCTGCAGAGCAGCTCTGTCTCCAGCTTGTCAAGCCCAGATGCCACTCATTCTCCCAATTCTGGTAGGGCTTCCTCCTCCATAAAATGGGAGAAGTAAATTCCTCCCAGCAGAAAGTAAACCTTGCTCTCCACCTCTCCCAGCCTTCATGTCTCTAGGCACACCCCTTTACGTCTTGCAACATATAGGAATTAATGTCTTAAGTGAAAGATAGTCAACATTTGTCAGCCACAGATAGTAAAAAATTAACCCTAGAAAATCCTTTAAGTTGCCTGAACATTAGAGTTCCTTCTTTACATTCCACTCATCAGTTTTTGGGGGTTTTTTTCCCCTCCAGGATTGGGACAGATCTCTGTGTTGTTGAATGCTAGCTGAAGAAATTGACTTGCATTATTAGGTCTTCTGTAAAATAAAAAGAACAGTGAAGCCCAGCAAACAACACAGATTGGGACCCATGGCGATTGGTTCCAACCTTCTTCCAGTCCTGATTTTCAGTTCACTCAAGCTAGAGCTCTTACCTTGTATAAGTGAACAAGGGGGAGTAATGAGAGAGACAGGTGGCAGAGGGATTGGCTTATGAACTGACTTGTCATTTGGGGCTACTTTAATTCAGTGTATATTTTGTGTGTAATGGCCTGTTTATAGTGAAAGAAGTCATCTAACAGAAGAAATGCTTCCCTTTTTTCCCTGCACTGGCTGGAAGAAGCCGCTTTTCACAATCTTTACATATAATAACCTTTCAATTTGAACAAGCGAGTATTTGTACCCCACTTTCTGCACTGTCGTGGGGTTTTACGCTCCTGTAACGAGACTCATGCTCCCTACGGCTAAGTGGTCACACTGTGAGAGGCAGGCTGAAACCCAGACCGGCTCAGAATGGCAGAATTCTGTCTTTTCACCTTAACACTCCAAGATATACACTTAATCGATAAGGATGGTAGGCGAAATCACTGGCTGTTTTGAAATCTGGTGTTCTCTACTCCTCCTCCACCAAATAAATAGATTTGATTTGTTCAAATGAAATGTGCTATCAGAAGGACTAGCTGAATGAGGGATGTCCCTCCCATGCAGTGGAGTACTTCTGCAGCGAGTATAGTTAACAAGGGAAAACAAAACGGCAAAACTGGGTTTATAACATGATGCATTTGAATTTTGATAAAGGATGTATACATAGATGCGTACCATTCCAAACAAAATTGTGTATATATTTGTGCATGCATAAAATATTTCTGGAAGGATATGTACGACATTGGTGAAAGCAGCTGCTGCTAAGAAGGGACCCAAAGTTGATAAGGGTGGGAGGAAGACAGCTTTCACTGCAGATTCTCTTCCCTGTTGTTTGGCTTTCTCCATGTGCTACACATACTGCCTTTCCCACCGAAAACCATTTATCTCATCTTCCCGATTAGTTGTTAATAGTTCATGGTAAATACACGTCAATTCGAGATGATTGTTAAATGAACAAAGCGTATACGTTTGGTGTCCATTTGCAGCACTGTTTGAGTCTCTGGCAGCTAAGATATATACCACTAATGATTTACACATTTGTCTTTTACAGAGTTACATCCATTTGGGAGAACAGTCTTCAGATCACTACGATTTCTAGTTTTATAGGAACATGGCTTGGCGCCTTCCCTATTCCACTCGATTGGGAAAGACCATGGCAGGTTGGTTTCAGCTACTTAAAACAACAAAATAAGCGTTTGTACAGTGATGGTAAAACTGAGGAAGCTAGCCAGTATGTCTGTATAAATTATGTTGTAGGGATGCCATGTCCCTGTCACTGTAACCTGGGAGACTTATTGGCCACAGGGCCCATTGGCATCCAGATCAGCCTGGTTCTGCTTTCCAGCACTGTGTTTTCTACATGTACAAGTGAGTAAATAAACTTAGTTTATGAATATTTATAGGAGTTTTTTAAAAATAAGGAAGAGATGCAGGAATTGCCTATTTTCATCCTATATGTTCATTGCCTTTGTGGTCTTAGATCCATATTTTCTTAACATGATTTATAGCCAAGTTGAATGTTGATTTTGAAAGATTTTTTTAAAAAGAGTATAGCAAAGTATGTTTTGAAATAGGGGTACGTGATATTGAGTATGTGATATCGGGTATGAGGAAACTCATAAACCTCAAGTTTTTGTTTCTGATCACAATAGGAAATAGCTAAGAAGCTAGGTTAAAACACTATGGGGTAAGTGTTCTTTTTATTCCCATCTTACAGATGAAGAAACATTATGTAACATGTTGAAGCTCACCAAACTAGTAATGAATATATCTTTATCTTCGTTTTTAATGGCTTCGTAGTACGCCATTATATAGTTATTCCCAAATGTATTTAGCAAATTCACTAGTGATCATTTAGGTTATTGCCAGTATTTCACTATTATAGACAGTGCTGTGATTAACACCTTGATTAACACCTTGAATGGATTTTCCAGTTATTTTCTTAAGATCATTTTCGCCAGATGGAACTGTAGTATTAAAAACCATACTTTCTTTTTCAACATGAAGAGAATTGTTTCTTATTACAAAAACAGTACATATTTATTTAGAAATTTTAAGCAACGTTAATAATTATAAAGGAGAAAGTAAAAAACTATCAAATATCCCAATCACACAGTGGTGACCCTCATTTCATTTTGTATTTTGGTGATAATTTGTGCAGTTCTCTCTGTGTGTAACTATAATGTGTCATTTTTTTTTTTTTAATGCCCTGTCCAGAGTCACTTTATTGCTAAATTAAAGAAACACTTTTTAGACCTTACTGTCAGGGCTTCTCTGAGCATTAACTCACTGGAAACACAGTATTTCCCTGCTTGAAACTTTTTTCTTGACTTTCTGCAACTACCGTGTCCACTGCTTTTCTTTCTGCTTCTCCAGTTTCTCCTCAGCCTCCCTGAGAGCTGCTTAGACTGCCTCTTGTTAAGATACCAGTACTCCCTTGATTTCTAACATCTTTTTTTCTCTCACTCTCCCTGCATGACCTTATCCATTGCCGTGACTGCAACTAAAAAATGGCTAATGAATCCCAAATCTTTTTTTTTCTTTAATTCCAAATCTTTATCTCCTGCCTGGGGCCTCTGAGCTTCAGACTCATAAATGCAACAGTGTGTTCCTCTTGAAGTTCCATAGCTACCTTGAACTCAGTGTGCTTAATATCCCCCTGTGATATAAGTAGACTGTCATCCACCCATTTGCTCGAGTCAGAAACCTGAAAGTCAACAGGAGCGAGAGGGGCAGAGAGAGAGGGAGACAAAGAATCTGAGGCAGGTTCCATTCTGCTCTGCTGACAGCGCAGAGCCTGACACGGAACTTGAACCCACGAACCATGACATCATGACCTGAGCCAAAGTCAGACGCTCAACTGACTGAGCTACCCAGGTGCCCCATTGATTCTAGTTTTTTAACATCTCTTGGATTTATCTTCTCTCCGTTTTCATTTAATTCGGTAACTTGTACAGGTGTCTCTCATCTTGCTTTATGTCATCCCTACTGAACCATTCTTTACATGCCAAACCTCAGACCTGATAGTGTTATTTCTCCTGCTTAAAATCTTCCAGTTGCTTCATTGCTTGCCTTAAATAAAGTCCAAGCTCTTTGGCATAGCTTATAAGGCCTCTATGATCTTGTTTCTGCTTAGATGCGTAGGGCGTGTTATTCAGATCGCAACTTTTCCACTTGCTGTGTGATTGAACAGGTTCACTGTAACATGGAGGTAATAGTTGTGAGGACTAAATGAGATCATATGTAAGAAATAGCTGTTATCGTAATTCATAATTAACATCCTTATTTATAAGTCTTTGGAATATAGTACTATCATTTCCTTAAGATAAATTCTTAAAGTGGAATTTCTGGGTATGCCTATTTTTCATCATTTAATTTTTTTCATCATGGTAAGTGTACTCTTTAATCCCCACCCCCTATTTTCCTCATCCCCCTTCCCCCACCTCCCCTCTGGTAACCCATCAGTTTGTTCTCTTTTGTTAATAGTCTCTTTCTTGGTTTGTCTCTCTCCTTTTTTCCTTTGCTTGTTTTTGTTTCTCAAATTTCACATATCTGTGACATCACATGGTATTTGTCTTCCTTTGACTTCTTTCACTTAGCATTATACTTTGTATCCATCTGGGTCATTGCAAATGGCAAGATTTCATTCTTTTTTTTATGGCTGAATAATATAACATTGTATATATATGCCATATTTATGTTGGATATTCATCTATCAGCGGATACTTAGGCTGCTTCCATAATTTGGCTGTTGTAAGTAATGTGCTGCTATAAACATAGGGGTGCAAGTGTCCCTTTGAATTATTGATTTGAATTATTGATTTTATGTTCTTTGGATTAAATACCCAGTAGTGTGATTCCTAGATCGTAGGATAGTTCTATTTTTAAATTTGGAGGGAACGTCCATACTGTTTCCACAGTGGCTGTTTCCACAGTGACCAGTTTGTGTTCCTGCCAATAGCACACAAGTGTTCCTTTTTCTCTACGTCCTCGCTGACACCTGTTATTTCTTGTGTCTTCAGTTTTAGCCATTCTGATAGGTGTGAAGTGATACCTCATTGTCGTTTTGATTTGCATTTCCCTGATGATGAGTGATGTATATTATATGTCATTTTTAATCTTTTTGTTTCCCTTCAGCAGTATGTTATGGAGGTCATTTCTCATCAGTGAAAATTTATATATATATAATATTCCATTATCTCGGTGAAATCATATATCAGTTTCTTATAAATGAACATTTAGATTGTTTATAGTTTTGCAATTATTGATTTACTATTACTAATTACGGTGATTATAATCATTTTTAAACATACATCTTTGCCTATTTGTCCAGTTTTCTCTAGTATAATGCCTAGATAAGAGCAGAGTTAAATTTTTGATATGTATCTCACTTTCCAAAGGCTTTAAAGGGATCTGGATTATATGTCTTGTACTTAAATGCCCATTTTGAGTCCATTCTTTGTGCTTTGTAGTAGATGTTATGTCTCCTAGACAGACAAGTTGTTCTTTTATGTTCAGTAAGTGTGGTGGCTTTGTCCTTGCCTATTATATTTATCTATTATATATTACAGAAATCCCTGGAGCTTTTGGGTGTCACTGATACCCTGTTGAAGGTTTTAGTACTGATACAGGTTTTGTTTACATTTCCTTGGCCATCTCAATGATCACTAGGAGATGGAGAATCCATCTTAAGGAACTTAGTTTCATTCAGCAGGATCAGTGATTTCTCAATTGGAGCAGGACAATCCAAATCATTGAAAAGTATACACAGAAAATTGTATTTTAGTCTGTAGTAGATTCATTACTTTCAGATACATGCAATTAAATCTAAATACAAAGTACTGATATATAAAGCACCGTGGGCTGCCACCTTTAATGAGTTGGTAAGGTAATATGTGATTAACATGTCAGTTTGCATATAGATGGAATATTTTAGAATGTAAATGTTTGACATTTTACACCTGTCTAAATCATAAGTAGAAGTAGAAACTGAATTATGTGGAGTAGATGTGCCTTTGTAAAATCTGAGTTTAGATTTGAATAGAAAATATATATGTTAATGATTTACAGCCCATTTATCCATTTTGGATTGTCCAGGCTTTTAGCTACTGACTCTCATTTTCCTACCTCAGTGCTTGTTTACAGTAAGAGGTAATCTGGATCCAAATTGATGGTTTCACTTTTTAAATTAATGTGAGGTTTCTGTTTGAATTACTGACTTTGAAAAGAGATTTTCCAGCTTGTTAATTTCTGTAAAAAGTGCTGGTCCTGATTAAGATGTTTGATTCAACTGGAATATTACTGGTTCTTTAATTATCCTTACTATTAGGTTGTTTTCAGAGTGTTCCAAGTTAATGACCTACTTATTCACTGTAATCTTTTTAAAGGTATGAAACCTACTGTTGGTGAAATGATAGAATGAATGTATGATTAATCATCTTTATTCATATCATAATCACCTGCCCCTCTCTCAGCAGCTATTTACTGATAAACTAGAGAAATGATGCTTCATTTTTTTCTTTCACTTTTTAATTTCAGCAAACAAGGTGTCTTGTTTTGTTCTGTTCTTCATAAGTAACTACACAGTGCAAGTGCTCAGTGTGGCTCTTGATACTGACAGACTCTGCCAGAGTAACAATAAGCCTGATAAAGAAATATGGCATTATCTCAAAATGGAGATTTTTCTAGAGCAAAATTTCATGAGAAGAGACGACAGTATATACTTAATACTGTCTAAAATATAGTACGTATAAAGAAGACATTTTGGTTCTCTGTTCCTTATAGCCCAATACAGATATGAGAATTCGTGATAAAGCAAGCTTTTCTGGATTGTGATCTGATTTTATTTATATTCTAGTTAGAGGAACAAGAGTATCTGGTCAAGTGAGTGTTTCTTATTTAAAAACACAAGTACAAACAACCCCACAAGAAATGTTTATATGTATTAGTTCAATTTCCTGTACTTTGAAGTCAAATCTGACTTTGTATAAAGTTCCAGAGGCCAGACATAAACTTACAATGATGTGAGTCCTGTATTGAGCAATTTCAAGCATATGTATATTTCTAAAATCATTTCATCACCAAATGACTGAAAAGGCCCATTGAAAATATGGGGCGCCTGGGTGGCTCAGTCAGTTAAGTGTCCGACTTCTGCTCAAGGTTATGATCTCACAGTTCAAGGGTTTGTGCCCCGAGTCGGGCTCTGTGCCGACAGCTGGAGCCTGGAGCCTGCTTCAGATTCTCCCTCTCTCTCTCTGCCCCTCCCCCGGTCATGCTCTTTGTCTCTCTCTCAAAAATAAACATAAAATTTTTAAAAAACCTGTAATCTCAGTGAAAAAAGTTTTTTTTCCATTTACTAATATGAGTTT